ACATTCTTGCTGTGTATATTCGGATGGAGAAAAAGACTAATTTTTCTTTAATTGAGGGGGAGAGTTACAATGGCTGTTGTTTTCTCAAAAAATGGAGAAAACATCTTGAAGCCCTTAACCCAACTGGAGCTCTCAACATCCATTCCTTCCACATATAATTAAGATCCATTCCATACGAATCATTCTAATGCAATTTCAACTAATTTGCAATCCTCACACGAACAACTTCAAATTGATTCTCGTTTTTAGCTTGGTTCTATGAATTTGCTTGCGGTGGCCCTTGATAATGGTGGCCCTTGATAATGATGCAACAACTCGTTTTTAGCTTGGTTCTATCAACTTTTGGGTTACAAATTATCTTTTATCTATCAAGTGCATGGTGCTATTCTTTGAAATATCGTCAATAATTAATATTAAATGTGACTGGTTGCCCTGTTTTTATCATCACTTTGAGTAAAATGAATCGTCTTCTTCCTTAAAATTGTGCTAATTGGAATCTACGTGCATGGATCATCTTCTTCCTTGAAAGAAAAATGATGCTCAAAACCTTTTGAAAAAACGCTAAAAGGTTTGAATCTGTTTTCCGTTTCATCAAAGGAGAAAACCCAGAATAGATGTCATCAAACCCAAAGCTTTTTTTAAGTTGAAACCAAATCTGGATACCAATGAAATCACTCTCATTTGTGCTTAAAATATTAAACCCAGAAACTTATAAATGCCAAGAGCAACAGCTTATATATATACAATACCTTGCGAGCGAAAGTATGAGCAAGAATGGCACCCCAACCTTGGTTGCTGAAGCTGAACTGAACGATGGAAGATCCAAAGAGAACAAAGACAGGTCTGCCTGGACCAAACATGTTGCTGTGCTTTTGTTTCAGACAAAAGCCGTTGTATTCGTCTCGTGTTTTTTTGGTTTGATTCTTGAGAGTTTAATGGATGGTAGGTGGGAGTGGGAATTGAGTGTATTTTTATTTGGATGGTTCGAATTGCCCGTCCAGTTCAGTTGGTAGAGCGTATGACTCTTAACCTTGTGGTTGTGGGATTGAGTCCCACGGTGGATAATTCATAAATTCAGACTGTCGGGGGTCTTCCACGGAAGCTGCTTTCAACCTGACGTTGGGGGTTACCTACTACCTTATCTCCCCCTCACCCCATTACATATGAAAATAGAGTCAGTTAATTTTTTTATTCGGATGGTTCATGGGCAGCAATCCTTCTTTATTGAGCGTATAAAGATTAAAAAATAGTAATGGCAATAATTCGCTATCAAATGTAAAACAAAAGGTAAAGTACGTAAATGGTCCCTTGATTTTAGGGTATTATTTTGTTGAATATCATAACTATTAAAAGTTACAAAATGACCATTCGGTTATAGGACGTTGTTGTGTTGAGTCCATAGACTGTCAAAAGTTAAAAAATGGTCATTCGACTATTCGTAAGTTCCAAATTCGTCATTTCTCTTTAAAAATTTGACAATAGTATGAGTTGAACGTTAACATTTGATTTAGATATAGTCGTTTGAGATTCTAGGATCATATTTTATTATATCTCAATCATCAAGTTAATGTCCAACTCAGATTGTCGTCAATTTTTTTTTATTGAAAAGGACGAGTTTAAAACATATGAATAGTCGAGTGACTATTTTTCAACTTTTAATAGTCAGATGACTCAACAAAGTAACGTCCTATAGTGAAAATATTATTTTGTAACTTTTAATAATTAAGAGACTCACCAAAAGCATCCTATAGTTGGAAGATCATTCGTGTACTTTACTCAAAAAGAATAATAACAATTTATGATTATTATTTTGGATGAGAAATAAACAAAATTATAGACTGAATATTTGATTAAATATTAAAAATGTCCTTAATGTTTGATTAAATAGTCATTTTGACCTTTATTCTTTTTTGAGAGCATTTTGATTTTTGACGTTTTATTTTAGGGCAAAAAGTCCTTAATATTTGATTAAATAGTCACTTTGACTCTTATTCATTTTAAAAATTATTTTAACCCTTAACATTTCATTTGAATAAAAATGTCTCTATTTTAGAGTATTAATCATTTGTTGACTAATAATTTCCATCTATGGAATGTTTATTTATTCTAAAATTAAATATTTAGAGTTAAAATATTTTTAAAAACATGGATCAAAGTAACTATAATTATTATAAGATTAAAAACACATATCTACTACTTAGATTTATGCACAGAAATATATTAGGCGTTGAGCTTTCAAATCGATAATATGTAAAAGTGAACAAAACTCGATTCAAATTGAAAAATCAATTTTTTTTATTTGATTAGACTCAAGAGAATTCAACTCGAATTGACTTCGAGTTGTAATTTCTTAATCCCGACTCGAGAAAATTGTAAGTTGAAATCGAGTTGTATTTTGCAACTCGAATAGTAACTCAAATAACTCAAAATTTGTAGTAATTAGTGGATTGATTTTCACGTTTGAGTCGAGCCCCTCGACTGTCGGCTCTGTATGATATATGTATATCACATACGAGAAAAATATAAAGAAATATATATGTATTGTATATGACTATAAAAAACCATTTAAATTGGAATCAAATAATATCATAATATTATAAAATATTTACAATTAAATTTAAACAAAAAAACTCAAAAATTTGGCTCGACTCGACTCTCAAAAAGTTTCAAGTCAACTCTGAGTTGTAAAATAGGACTCGTCAACCAGAATAACTCAAAAAATTTTAATTCGACTCGATCCGATCGAACACTCAGCCCTAAATTAATAAGTGAATAAATAATATACAATGACATGTACCATGTAAATCAATTTTTTTTTCGTAATATAAATCAAGTCTAATGCTTCATAATTTGGGTACATTAGTAAAATAAAATATGATCTTATTTTTCTAGATTTTAGTGGAGCCTTCCTTTTACCCATCTAAATTTGGTGTCATGCAGAGCATTTAGGGCTATAATTTATGAAGTAAATGAGGCATAAAAGGTTTCCCACCTCTGTTCTTTTTGCACGATGAATTAAGTGGTTACTACTGACGGCTGCCTCTGAACCATCCATTGACATGAATTCCGGTCTTGATACAGAAGTATGCATAGAAGGACACGTTCTCCCATCAAATGATTGTTTCAAGTACCTAGGGTCTATGATACATAAAGATGGGAGTGTAGATGACGACGTTACACACCGTATAAAGGCGGGATGGCTAAAGTGGAGGGCCGCTACTGGAGTTTTGTGTGACAAGAAGGTGCCTCTAAAACTTAAGGGAAAATTTTATAGAATGGCAATAAGACCAGCGCTGTTGTATGGATCAAAATGTTGGGCAACCAAGAAGGATCACGTAAGGAGGATAGAGGCCGCAGAAATGAGAATGCTTCGATGGACATGTGGTAGGACTCTGTGGGATATGACGACAAACTCTGCTATTAGGATGTCCTTGGGGGTGGTGTCTGTTTCCAAAAAATTGAGGGAGGGAAGACTACGGTGGTTTGGGCATGTCCTTAGGCGACTACCGTCGGATGCGGTCAGGAGGGTAGAGTCGATTACAGTCGACGGTGCCAGAAGGAAAGGACGACCAAGGAGGAAGTGGGAAGACTGCTTGAGATCTGATTTGATGGAGTTAGCCCTTACCGAAGATATGACCTCTCATAGGAAAATATGGAGGCTAAAAACTAGGGTAGTCGAGTAGTGTGGGTCACATCTATAGGGTGTATCATCTCTGTCTTCTTTTAATGCCTTTGTAGTAATTTCCATGACTTATACTTTTTATACGTTTCTGTTATTGGTATTTATGAAGGATTGGAACTGGGCTTGATATCGTTGACGTTTGTTTATCATTCTCTTCATGTTTCCTCTTTTAAATTTAGTTGGGTCTTATGTTTCTGTCTATATGCAGAGATTCTTTCGCAGGGATTATTTTACAGGGATTAATTCCCATTACAAACGCACATATGATTTTAATGACTGTATATGAATACTGTTTAGCTATGTATTTATTTATATATGCATTGCATTTTATCTATATTTTTAATTTTCTGACTGTCGGAGGTCTTTCACGGAAGCTACTCCCAACCTGGCGTTGGGGGCAGCCTACTACCCTACCTCCCCCTTACCCCATACATATGGGAATTGGGTTTTGTTGTTGTTGTTGTTGTTGATATAAAAACATAAACCCAACAACAAGAATCAGACCAAAACAAACATAAGACAAACAGGACCGAATTTAACTTTTGTCTGAGACTGCAACAAAGACAGACACCCGTGCTTGGTCCACCCGGACCTCTTTCAGCAACCAAGGTATGAGTATACCTTAATGTTTTGCATTGTGCAAATGGATCTTAATCATATTTTTTTTTTTATATTTCGAGTTTACTGTGGTTTCTGATTCAAACAGTTCATATTTCGAATTCATGTTGATTTTATGTTCGGGATAGATAAGTTTAGTTCTCTTTTTTAGTTTAAGCGGATTTAGATTCAAGGTGATTAGGACCAGATTTTCAAATTTAGAATTGACCAGCTTGGTTTCAATAACGTCTTTGTTGCCCCAGTAGACAAAATGACTAGTTGAATGCCTTTGACTGATAGTTCATCAGGTATAAAACCATGGGCACTGTGTCGCTTTTGATCTGATCTTCAGGGCTTATCGGAGAAGACGCGTGTAAGTTCAGTGCTTATAGTTTGTTTACAAGTATACTTATAAGAAATAAAAGTTAAAGAAAAAAATATTAAACGTTGATATAAAAGATCAAAATTTTGTACCAACCGAGACAACACATTGACACGAGTTGGACGTAACGAAGCGAACAAGAAAATAAGCGTAGATTTCTGGCCACTAGCCCAATGATGGTAGCAAGCAAAACCTAAGAATAATTACATACGTTTCTAAATGATTTAAACTATTTTACTTGAAACCATATTCTTTTTGGTAGAGTTACTGGTCTCAGATGGACCAACCCGAATCGAAACAATCCTCGCAATCCAATTTTCTCCATTCATAACATCAAGATTCAAATCCCAAGCACACTATCTGGGAATTTCCGTATGTTTCCAACAAAATAATAAATTTGCTCTTTTAACTATTTCTGTTCTCCATAAAGGTTACAATTACATGAAAACGAGTTCGACAAAACCCCGTTCTCATGAATCAACTCTCAAGTATTATCTCAATTACATGCCCAAGCCAAAATGTGTAAGCATTAATCAAATAAAAAAAAATAGCAAATAGATACAAAAGGAGAGGAAAGCAAAGCATCAAGACAAGCAGTAGCAGCACTCGAATTTAAAATCGGACGGGACTTACATATAACATTTAAACCTTCCACATTACGGCAAAACCAGGATGTTGTCATCCGCGCATAACGAAACACACTCCAGTAAGGATGATAAACGGAGAATTCTGATGGCTCGAGAGGATGCTTCATCTTCCGTGGAAAACCTTCTTAAGATGAAAGTTGGAATTTGCCGCTAGGCTTTTTTCTCCTCCACCCCTGAAATTTCCAAACAGAAAACAAGTTAGAAATCAGATCTTGAAATCTAGTGAGCACAAGCAGGAAAAGTAGAGGTACCCGAAACTTACAAATGCAATATAATACACGAAGGTCAACCCAGCTAGAATGATGAACGCAATTTGAAATACGTTGTACCTGTAATGGCAATTCAAACATCAGTAGAATATGATTAAATACATACAAGTCTGGTCACGGTAAAACAGTGATTTGAAAATAGTATATACTCACTTGTACAAATATTTAATTCCACGAAGAGATTGCAGTGTATGGCCGAATATCTCCTGGGCAGCGGTCGCCTGAGCATAGTACCCAAATGCTGTAGAACAGAACTGTATGACACTGAAGTTGCAAAAACAGACAACATTCCCATCAGATGATGTTGAAAACAAGCTCCCTTTATATAACAGCATGTAATTCTCTAATACAATTTTCAATTACCAACCAAAAACATAGAGATACAATTTCAATTTTCAACAATGATCTAATAGCAGGTGCCTTGAGATAACATGGAAACAAGATTGAATATATGAGCCAAGTCACCAACCTTATAGAGCACAAAAGAATAAGTCCCACATTGAACAGAAAAGAGTTCATTAGAGTAGCTCCCCACCTACGTAAGTCCATTAAACATATATTAGTCAGCTGGTGATTTTCTCAATGATAGAAAATTAAAAAAATGTCATCTACATGGAATCCATTACTTCATAGGATGGATAGTAATGAAAACTAATCTCAGACCAAGCATCATTGCACCAGCAATCACGGCAAGAAGAAGGTAGAAGCAAAAGAATGCAAATGCTGCTGTACCCAGAAGACCTGGCAAAATATAAAATATATATATCTATTTAAATTTTAAAAGCAGCAAAATAGAAAGAAATAAACTCAAACAAGGTCTACAAATTACCCCATATATCATCCAACTTGATGAAAACCTCATTCAGGAAGGGAGAAAGAGGTGGATCAATCAGAAGGTATATGACAATATGAGCAACCCAAGCCACTGAAACAATTAACCTAACAAAGTGCAGGGCAAATTGCAGGTTAGATAAACTCCTTTTAGTCAGGGGCCAACATCATCAATTTAACACATTTAAATAGACTTAAACAGGTTTATTGTGATCCCTTATTCTAAGAATAGCAGCATTTTATTTCTATTTCACGCATAAATCAAGCTCACAGTTCAAAATATCCCGTTATTATAGTGTATTTACAATAATCACTATCCTCCATAAAGTGCATGAAAATATCCAAACTCAATTTCTAATTCACAACAATAATAAAACTTGGGATTTTTTTTAAGTTAATTGCCATATTGGTACGAAAATAAATTATCTAAGCAGTAAGCACTCACCCTAGGATTCCCAACACAAGTTTTGCCAAGTATCCAAGAACAGTCAAGGCCCAGGATGTTTCAGCCTGAAATGTCAAGGGAAGGGGGTTAATACCGGAAGAGGGGGATGGGACCATAACCAAGTGCCATGCATACTTGAAGTCGAGCAAGTCAAATTAGATACCTTTTCTCCTTGAGGGTACATCTCTTCCAGTAGCTTTACATCTTCTTCCAGTTGAAGCAATTCCTGGTTTAATCAAGAAAATAACAATATAATTAGCCATGGATAACGAACAATGCCACAAAATGTGAAAAGACCACTAGACGTTTATTTTATCATCCCCTAAAAAGCAATGCTCAATTAACTTCAACTCTTCACTGAGAAACAACAAAAGAAACTGCCGCAAGTTAATATCATGGTCAAAATATAACTTATCTGCAAATAATACCATTATAATACAAGCCAAATTGTTGAATTAATAAGATCTTTTAAGTGTAATAGGAAAACTCAATAAAAATCTACATTTGAACTAGAGTGATCTACAACTGATGTCACAAAATATAATTCAATGAAAAATTAATATGAAAGGACTTTGCATAGACCTTTTCCACAGACTTAACATTTTTACGCCACTTTCGACCCTTTGAACCGCTTCTTTCTTCCTGATGAAGTGCATCAGCTGCTTTCTTCAGTTCTCTTGCCTTTTTACCAAGTTCAGTAGCTTCCTACAAGATCAATTACAATACAATGAGAATATCAATACTATCTTCTTACAGCATTGCGTGCTTTCATATGGCAGTTTGGCAGCATCATAAGCAATATCAATCAGCACCTTAATATACTGTGAGCGAGTGATAACAGCTTTTGGACGGCGTATAAATGACGCGATAAGCCCAAGAGGCAAACAAGCAATACCTACACCACCAAATATCTGACCAAAATTTCAAGATGTAAGCAATATATTCTAACAAAACATAGAACATTCCACGCTAGAATTGCTATCCAAATTCCAAACACAAGAATAACATACTCAAATTTGAAAGAAACTTACCGAGAAAAGAACAGATCCAACAATTGTAGCAAGAGCAACAACATATTCTGGAAATGTAGTGCGCATAGTCCATGTTTTCTCCGAAGATGCACTAGCAGTATATGCTGAGCACTGTAATGAAAAGAAAGATGATGAAAAAGAACATAAATCATGAGATAAAAAAGAATATTATACAGAATAAAGGAATTACTAACCGACACAGCTTGTGCACCAGATCCACCAATACATGGCTGACTGCTAGTGAAATCCCAATTACTGGGGAAATTAGTAGTGTCAGAAGACAGGTGCCTAACTGTAAAATCTACCTTTCCAACTAGCCCTGATACACCATTCAAAATGATAAAATCATGGGTATGACTATCAGCTGCTATGATAAAACCCGAAACTACACAAACAAACCTTCAAGAAATGTAAAACAAATTGTAAAAGCACCTTAATAAAAATTTATATTCAAAACATTAACCGAGTATTCCAGTGATCAATATCATGGTCCTATTCCTATATTAACATCAAGCTCAATGCTTCCATGGCTCGCAAAAACTTTTCAATTAAAAAAGAAATGCCAAAGAAATTAAAGAAAAGGGGGGAAAGGATAACCAAACCATATAGTATGCCAAGAAGGAGTGCACAAACTATTGCAGTTGTCACAACCCATAGCAACGCGCTCTTTATCCGTTTGCCAACACTCCTGCAATCAAAAACCAAATAAACAAAACAAAAATTAAGAGTAGAGCAATCCATCAATATAATCAATAATTTTTAACAATCGTAGACCTAGAAACACGTACTTATCCTGGTCTCCTTCGTAGAAGAACATGGCAAACGGGATTACAAAGAAAACGAGCACGGCATCTACGATATAAATGGCGAGCCAGAGATCTTTCATAGGCAAGGTGAGATTACACGCGCCGTTGTATATCGCGTGCCTACATGCCTGCCGGTTGGCGACATCAGCCGGTAACATGAGTATGGAAATGGCAGCGACGGAGAGCCCAAAAACAACCACGAATTTGGGGAAATAGGCTTGGTTAGCGTCATCCGGGTGCTGGTAATTAACGAGGAGGTAGATATTGAAAAGGAACACTAGTACACAAACGACTATGGCGACGATTACCAGAGCGAGATTGAAATCGCTCATCCTTATTAAGCTCTCGGTTCAAATCAATTCGAAGAATTAGGGTTTCCTATTGGGATTTTTTCCCTTTTTTTGTGTAGATCTCACTCTCTTTGTGTTGACAAAAGTAAAGGTGAAGGTTGGGGCTCCGGTGAAGTGTTTCGTTGAATTTTGAGCGTGTTTTTGAGGTATTGGAGACCAATTGACTTGATTATCCTTGATGATTTTGTTAATTACGACATGAAATGCCCAGGAGGAGGATTGCGTATGGATTTTAATGTCATTTTTCTTTTAGCTCCATCACAAGCATCGAACCAGCCGGTTCATAGCAAGAGTAATAAGGTCAATGTTCTTTTGGTTTATTTTATTTCTAGTCCCTGTACGTTTTAGAAATTGTTTTAATTTTTTTTCAGGTTCTCTTCCCGATTCCCAAGACTTCTATTTTCAGGTATTTAATTCTCTCTTTTTCCCAACAACAACAACAATAACAAAATCCTATTCCCATATACAATAGGGTAGGGAAGATAGGGTAGTAGGCTGTCCCCAACGTCAGGTTGAGAGCAGTTTCCGTGGAAGACCTCCGACAGTCAGAAAATTACAAATAAAGATAAAATGCAATGCATATATAAATAAATAAATACATAGTTGAAACAGTCTTCAGATACAGTGTACATATGTGTGTCTGTAATGGGAAGTTATTAATTGTTGAGTTAATCGATTGACGGAATCGGCCAAGAGGGGGGTGAATTGGCAACAAAAATTTTGGTGGAAGCTTTTGCAGAAAATTGAAAGAAATTACACGGCGATTTAGAGTGGTTCGACTTTATCAACCAAAGTCTACGTCCACTACCTTAGCTATCCACACTAAGGATTTTCCAACAAATTCACTAATTTGTTCTTTCTTTTGAGGCCAAAAAGATAACCTTACAACTCCCTCAAGAATATACCCCAATTCTTTAGAACACTCTTTTCTCAAAGAGAAATACAAATTTGCAAACTTACAAGAAAAACCTCACAAGGCAAATATGTTTGCACAATTCTAGAACAAAGAAAGAACACTCAAGAATAAATACAATTGAGCACAATAAGTGTTCTTGAAAGCAAAATGAATATTGAATGAAAAATAGGCTTGAAATGCTCAGACTTGAGGTTTGATGCTTTCTCTTTGATTCTCTCTTGATTCTAGTTGCTTGATGTTTCTTGTTGTTGATCAATGGCTTCTAAGCTTGCTTAAATACACCTTGAATCATTTCTGAACATTGGGGATGATTAGAGAAGATAATATAGTCGTTTTAGTGTGAAAACAATTAATAAAACATCTTGGAGCGTGGGGGAATCGGTTCCCTAAGTGTAAAATTCAAATATTTCGACCGTTACACAAGGGGGGAATCGGTACCCCCTGGGGGGGAATCGGTTCCCTCTGAGCATACTGGAATTCTCGGAGCCAAACCATTCAGGGGGAATCGATACCCCCTTGGGGGGAATCAGTTCCCTCTGAGCAATCTGGAATTTTTGGCTTTGAAATGGTTCGAAATACTTTGTAAAATTATTTTGAAATTGTTTTAAGATTAAAACTTAATTTTACACTTGAGTAAGGATTAAAAATGATTTTTGAAAGATTTGGAGTAATGTTTTGATATTCGAATAGTTATATCGAATATACTTAGAAAATCATTTGGAAAATCTTAAAATTCATTTAACTTAATTTGTTATATCGAAATATTAAAATGTTTTCAACAATCTCCCCCTTTTTGATATAACAAAACATTTTAGTAATTTTTAAGATTTTGAAATCAAGTTTTGAAATTACTCCCTCTTACTTTAACACTTCTCCCATTTATCATTTAAAAACACATTTAACACTTCTCCCCCTTTTTGTTAAACCAAAAAGACATTTTAAAGAATCTAAACAAGTTTTTGAAATCATTTAGCCAATTGATTATATTTTAAGCTGCTAAGATCACAAGCAAGAGAAACGTTAGCCATTAGTTTCATAATCAATATTCATAATTAATGTGACATGGCAAAATTGGTCATATTGCTAAAATTATGTAAATGATGCAATAATGAATAAATCACACCAAATATATAAGTTCATATCATCCATAAATCCAAACAAATTCAAAATCAATCAATCCACAAATTCAAACATCCAAACAAATCCAAAGTCACAAAATCAAACAATCCAAAAAGTTGAAGCAATAATCGTTTAGTTCAAGGTTTTAAAGCTAAGCACAGAATCACATATCCGGATCAGGAGGAGGAAAACGAGCTCGCATAGCGGCCATTTCTGTAACATCCTAAATAACGGGTTAGTGACTAAATTGTAAAAATTTAGAATTTGGTGATTAAAGTAGAATAATTAAATAGTTTAAAAATAATTGTTAGTAAATATGAAATGAATTAAAGGACAAAATGGTCATTTGCAATGAAAAATTATAATTAAAAATTTTAATGGGGTTATATTATAAACCACGTGGGGCTTGAGTAGGAAACAAATGTTTCCAGATTTCTCTCATCTCTTCTTCATTCTTTCTTATCTTCTTCACTCTTCTCTTCTTCCAAACGTGAAGACCCAAGCTTAAGGTAAGAATCTGAACATTGGTCGTTTCTTTGATTTTTAGCTTGGAAATTGAAGTTTGGATGTTATATAAGCTAAAGGAAAGCTTATATGACATTAAGACAACAAGATAAGTGTTTTAGAGATAGATTTGGAAAATGGGTTTTTAGATGAAATTTTGATATGGATGAGTTTTTGAAGTTTGAATACGATTTTTGACTTGTCAAGAAGTTAATTAAGGAATATGGAGTGTTAAAATTGGATTTAAAACATGTTGAAAATTTGGGTATGATTTTTAGCTTTGAGAATTGGAATGAAGTATTGGAAATAATAAAGTGTTGAAATGGTAGAAGTTAGTTAAAATGGTTGTAGCTAAGTTTGGTAGGATGGAAGAAATTGTGTATGAGAAAATTTAGCAAAAATGGAGGATTTTCGGATTTGAACAGTAAATTTATGGGTAAATTTTTCAGATTATGCAGAGGGAATCGATACCCCTGGGGGGGGGAATCGATTCCCCCCTAAAGGAAAGTTGAAGTTTGGTTCATTAAATTCGTTTAAGCTATTAGTATTAAATTATAAGATTTAGACTTTTGATAATTGTCTCGAAAATTATGTTCGTGTAGATATAAAACGTAATTCTATTCCAGAACAATCGAAGAGTTAGGATTGAAACAACGAAAGCGAGGCCAAGGTGAGTGCCTATTTTAAGGGTAGTACAATGGAATAAGACTTGTGATAAGTCTAATCCTATGTTGATTTTTATAGAACAATAGTTATGAACATGCATACATGATAATTATTATGATACATGCATAAGGTATATATGCTCATATGATTTGATAAATGATATATGTGAATAAAATCAAATGTATATGTGAAATGATAAGTGACATGAGCACATGAACATATGAAATATCAGAATGATGCCCATAGTATACGATATGAGAGCTATAGGTATAGTTGGCATGCCAAGAGTCGAGGGTTTCATAGGTCATTCGGGACAACTCATAGGTCATTTGGGACATATTCACAGGTCCTTCGGGACAAATTTCATATGCCACTCAGTGGGACTTATACGAGCTGTGGTGACAGCAATAGTGCACAACCTCAATGTACTCGAATACCTTGAGTTCTCAGTAATATACATGGGCTTATAGAATGTTATCAAAGGTAATTGTATTATTATTGTTATATGTTATATCATTGAATGGATAGATCACATGTTCATATTTATAAGGAATACATCATCATTATATTCATATGCCTCACTAAGTCTATGACTTAGCGTGTAAGTGATTTACACGTAGGTACATAAAAGTAAGAAGATCGATCTTAAGAGCAACAACGCAGCATACCATCATTAGGGGATCAAATCAGAAGTAAACAACAAAGTATGTATTTTAGTTGTATAAAGTATATTGGCATGTAATAAGTTGTTAGTTACGAACACTCTGATCGACTTTTCTAATGTTTTGAATGTAATTATGTAAGTGTATAGTAATGAACGGTTGAATTTTTACGAATTTTATGTACATTTTTACGGAAGTACTGTAGCAGTACTGTAGCAGGGGAATCGGTTCCCTGTAGCAGGGGAATCGATTCCCTATTTGTAAACTGGAAAATTTAACATTTCGGGTACTGTAGTAGGTTACTGTTCACGGTACTGTAGCAGATTAATGTTTATACATATTTTATTGTTTGCAAATACATTTTTTTACCTCAAAATTTTATACTGAATATAATTTAATAATATATTATCTTATTTTCCTAAAATAAGTTCAAATGTTTTGTTATTTTATAAGGAAAATTATTTTAAAAAGGTAATGTCACATCTCGGACTCGTACTCGGGTCGGGTACGGGTTAGGGGTGTTACAATTTCGTGAGTGAGTTCATTAATACGCGCGTTGGTTGCTTCGTTATTTGCACGCATCTCCCAAAGAATTTATAATTGTTGAGCTCCCATTGTGGATAAATGAGACTCTATAGAAGTAAAGCACGAATCCATGGTAGCATATCGGAAATCGAATGTCTCCATAAAGGATTGAAATATTGAGGCATTTGATGCGTTTGTTGTGCTTGATCCTCGGGCTGCTCAGGCTCATCTTTGGCTACATCGATATCTCGCATTAATTGCTCAAGCTCGAGATCGTCATCAGCTTCTGGTGGAGCTCGTGAAGAACTAGCTCCCAGAGTATTTGCAGAAGATCGAACCCATTCACCGGTTTCCTTATCCTTTGTCCATCCCGCTCTCGTTAAGGAAATAAGATTAATTTGTTTCTTAAGGGGGAAAACGGCATCTAGACCGACTCTAAGCCCAGCTTTGGAAAACATATTACTCAAAATGCAACCGTAAACTAGAGATGAACAGAGTTTCTTGTTAGGAACAAGATTTACGGTTTCAACAATTTCAGCAAAAATAATCTGAGGTAGGTTAATTTTAATATTGTTTTCGAAACAATGTAACCACCAAAGATCTAAGGCTCTAAGAGTATAATAACGACCTCCGGATAGTCGAAACCACCAAGACATCATTAGATGAAGAAAACGTTCATGAAGGTCTAAGACACTTGCACTATCTCTTCTTTTATAACGAGATCCTAAAACCTGTTTTTCATTTGAAATACCATCATTATCTAATCCGAATGTATTGGCTATGTAAGCCGAGTCAATATATAAGAATTGTCCTAGGAGGTAGGAACGAATTCCTATGGTTTCGGTTTTAGTTTGGTTTTTAATACAAACGACATTAGAATAGAAAATGCGAACAAGTTTATGGTAAGCGATGGGTTCAAGATCAAAGAGTTTATCAAATTTCCACTCTTGTAAAAGAGGAAGATATTTAAAATTAATAGCTAACATAGCTTGACGAGAAGGAATACGTTCTTCCCGGATTTTGTAAGAGTCGAAATATTGATAATACCAAAAACGATGATTTCTAGGACCATGATGATTGAAGCACGAATTTTGGATAGTCAAATTAGGATCAATGGGATTAGGATTAGGAATTGGATTTTGAGGATTTGGAGGTGGATTTGGTTGACGGTGTGAGCGACTAGATGATGACCTAGCACGTTTAGGATTGGACATGGTTTAGGAAATCAGAATAGAATGGATAACCTACAATTTAGAAAACACATGTATGCAATTCAATCAATCGCAAAACTCAATTGAGTCCTCAATATTTCAAGGTTCTCTAAATCAATCCTAATGGGCAAAGTTTTTGAAAACTTTTGAAAAATACGGTTTTGAGAAACAATATAGTTTTCATAACAACAACATAATTCAATCAAAACACAATAATTTGAAAATCAACATTTTTTTATTTCAAAAATTTAAAAATTTTTGGAAAAATTCTTGTGTTTTTGATGAAATTAGTTGTGATATCTAGTTTCTAATCACTAAACAATCAATGCCCGATCTAAAGTTCATCCTAGAACTAATTAAAACTAGTTCTATGTTCATAAATTGATGAAATAGAAGTTTTGGAAAAATACCTTGAAGGATTTCGGATTTGAGTGAGATTAGATGAAGTTTGCACGTTTTTGATGATTCCAACAGGTTTAGAAGATGATATTTGAAGTGAATTCCGATTAAGAACGTTGATTTAAGGCAAGAATGGAGATAGGGAGAGAGTTTAGAGGAAACGACGACAAGGAAAAGAAGGGTTTTGAACAAAAGTAAGGGTTCTGCCCGTGTATAACCAGAACCCCAGGGGGTATCGATTCCCTTGTGGGGGGAATCGGTTCCCCTTCAAAGGGGGAATCGGTTCCCTCATGGGGGGATCGATTCCTTCTGTACCAAAATGCTAAAATCCAATTTTAAACACCCAAAATGCTAAATTAATTTCCTCTAGTGGTATTGGCAACTCATATATTGAAATTTAATCATGTTCAAACAATTAAATTAATCTTTAAACGATATTTGAACATAAAATTAATTGTTCATTAAGAATCATAAACTCCCCCTAACTAATAGCAATGAATGCAATCAAAAATTACTATTATAAGCATTTTCATATATTCTTAAAAGTGCTAAAATTATTTTAAACACTAAGTGAAGATAGGTTGGTCAAACCTAATTCTCTCCTAAGTGTCCAAAATCTTTCCTTGTCTAAAGGTTTTGTAAAGATATCGGCTAATTGGTGCAAAATATCAACAAATTCTAGAACTACATATTCCTTAGTGACATGGTCTCTAATGAAGTGATGTCTTATTTCAATGTGCTTAGTTCTAGAGTGTTGGATGGGATTTTTAGTGAGACAAATAGCACTAGTATTGTCACACTTGATAGGAATGGTACCTACTTCAATTCCATAATCAAAAAGTTGTTGTTTCATCCATAAAACTTGTGCACAGCAACTACCAACTGAAATGTATTCGGCTTCAGTGGTAGATAATGCGACACAATTTTGTTTCTTTGAAAACCCAAGAAATTAGCATATTTCCAAGGAATTGGCAAGTATCGGAGGTGCTTTTCCTATCTAATTTGCATCCTCCATAATCCGCATCAGAAAAAGCATGCAAGCTAAAGCTAGAGTCTCTAGGATACCAAAGTCCTAAACTAGGAGTGTCCTTAAGGTATCTAAAGATTCTCTTAACAACTAGTAAATGTGATTCTTTAGGGCATGATTGAAATCTAGCACATAAGCAAACACTAAACATAATGTATGGTCTACTTACAGTTAGATAAAGTAGAGATCCAATCATTGACCTATATAATTTAATATCTACACATTTACCTCCTTCATCTAAGTCAAGCTTTGTTGAAGAGCTCATTGGAGTGTCATGAGGTTTCCCATTTTCCAGTCCAAACTTCTTGAGTATATCTTTGACGTACTTAGCTTGATTGATGAAGATGTCATCTTTTCTTTGCTTGATTTGGAGTCCCAAGAAAAATGAGAGCTCCCCCATCATGCTCATCTCAAACTCACTTTGCATTAGCTTAGAAAATTCTTGGCAAAGAACGTCATTAGTAGAACCAAATATTATATCATCAACATAAATTTGAACTACTAATAAATCTTTACCTTTATGCTTCAAAAACAATATAGTGTTAACCTTCCATTTTGAAAAACCTTTTTCAATTAAAAAATTTGACAATCTTTCATACCAAGCTCTAGGAGCTTACTTTAAACCATAAAGAGCTTTTGTCAATTTTAAAACATGATCCAAAAAATTTGAATCTTCAAAACCTGGAGGTTGTTGCACATACACTTCTTCTTTTATAAAACCATTTAAAATGCACTTTTAACATCCATTTGATATAATTTAAATTCATTGAAACATGCAAATGCTAATAACATTCTAATTGCTTCCATCCTAGCTACGGGAGCGTATGTTTCATCATAGTCTATGCCTTCTTCTTGAGTATAGCCTTGAGCAATAAGTCTAGCCTTGTTCCTCACTATATTACCACTTTCATCAAGCTTATTTCTAAATACCCATCTAGTACCTACAGTAGTTTTATTACTAGGCCTTTCAACTAATGTCCATACTTTACTTCTCTCAAATTGATTTAATTCTTTTTGCATAGCCATAATCCAATGTTCATCTTTTAATGCTTCTTTGATGTTCTTAGGCTCTATGCATGAAATAAATGCAACATAATTACAAATATTTCTAAGAGAAGATCGAGTAGTTACCCCTTTAGATGGATCACCTATAATTTCACCATCCTTGACATAGTTGTACTCTCTTGGATAAGATACTTCCCATTCTTCAATGGTTGGGTTCTCGAGAGGATCATGAGTTTCCTCATCTTTCGTTTCTTCCTTTGATGATGATTCTCCAACGACATGTCTAACGTCATTTGTATTTACAATGCCTACATCATCATTAACACAAGAATCCTTCCTCGGAAGGAGATTATCATCGAAAACAACATGTATAGACTCTTCTACAACTAAAGTTCTTTTATTAAATACACGATAAGCTTTAGAATTTAAGGAATAACCCAGAAAAATTCCTTCATCACTTTTAGCATCAAATTTGCCAAGGTTCTCTTTACCGTTGTTTAAAACAAAACATTTACATCCAAAATGATGAAAATAACTAATGTTAGGCTTTTTATTTTTGAAAATTTCATATGGAGTTTTCTTTAAAATTGGCCTAATCAATACTCGATTTACAACATAACAAGCGGTATTTGTGGCTTCCGCCCAAAAATATTTTGGCAAATTATTTTCATAAAGCATGGTTCTAGCCATTTCTTCTAAAGTTCGATTTTTCCTCTCAACAACTCCATTTTGTTGAGGGGTTCTAGGTGCTGAAAAATTATGGCTAATACCATTAGAATTATAAAATTCAATAAATCCAAGATTTTCAAATTAAGTTCCATGA